GGCAATTGATTCATAAGTTTTCTATCGGTGACAGTATTGGGTCGTTCAGGAGCTTTGAGCTGATCTTTAGGTAAGTCTTTATAATCACATGAAGTACTCAACGGAATGAAAATATCATTCCAATGCTCCCCATCATTGAAATATAGTGACCCCTCGAGGATCAATATAACTGTTTGATTGCTATAATAGGCTGACAATAGACACCACAAGACATGATGTATTCCCGATGCAAAACCGCCGCCGATTTTGAGAATACAAACAGTTGTGGAAACTTGATTGCACTGATCTTTAGGTGGATTCTGAAGTTTTTCTAGTTTTGTGTATATTTGATGTGATATTTGTTTCAGCCTTTTATTTTTATAAGCATTTAAACCCATTATTTCATTTGCATTTTGTATTTCCAACTGTATAACACTAATTATCATAAATTAATTAAAATTTGTATATAATTCAGTATATTTTAATGATACATACTTTTTCATATCACTAACTTGTGATAAAATTTTATTTTTAATTTCATTGCTCAAAGAATCTGTTTTATTCAAAGTTATGGACAAATAATTGAAGATTTCTTGAGCTGTTGTGTGGGCTCGTCGTAAATGTTTCACAGAATTTAACGTAACTGTAGTATCAAAAGTAATTTATAAAGTTTAATATTGATACAATCTAAATATAATAATTTAGGAATTCAAATAAATAATAATAATTACCCTTAATATTACATTTGTCTTTATTACAAATTAACGTTGATGAATAACTTCTAATAACTATAGACATTAGATACATGAATGATAATACAAAAATCATATAAATAAATATCCACAGAAATGATTGAATCTTTTTATTGTAATTCATTGTCTCAATGTTTGATTCAATTGATTAAGTCACACAACATTTAATATATTAATTATATATTTCTAGTAATAACTAAATGTTGTATGTTATATAACTTTTAAAACATTATTATTTACAATGATAAGTTTAAAATTCATGAGAATATTGTAAATATATTATGTATGGTCACCGTAAAAAATAAAATTCAATAAAAATGCTAGTTCATCAATCATACGGTACGGTATATTACCTGTGAATTCTAGATTGCATGTTACATATTGAACTTGTACATAAATTGATTTCATTCTACATAATGTATTCTATTAATAAGAATTATATCAAACTATAAGCCAGCTGTAAATCGTGACAGTACTAGGTTGTTTTTATAATTGTTTGTTTGTTATTCTCTATGTGCAGTATACCATATTTACTCAAATATGAAAATCAATAAATATGAAGCAAATAAAATAAATATTGATAAAAGTGTTATTACAAACATTCAAAATTATGGGTATTAAAAATAAAGCTAGATGAAAAATTATAAATTATAATTAATAATGTTCTGTAATTATTTATTTACTTCATTTAAGTAATAATGTTTTGACATTTAAATAATGAAGCATTTATTATAAATGTTTTGTAATTCTTAAAGTATTTTGTTGACAATAAAATTAACAAATGATTTTTTTATACAGTACAATTATGTCTGTTAATGTAATGTGTAAGTTATTAATCAATAATACTGATTCATTATTTTATAAACATTGTATTTAATTTTTATATTCTTAAGATTAATTTTATATAAAATATTAACTAGAAATCTATATTAGCTCAATATCATCGAAAACTTTATAAACAGGGTATAATTTGTAAAACTTTTGTGTCGATGAATTGGAGGCATAGAAATAGGAGTCCCAACCCCTGCCATTCACTGACTGTTTAAACCATTCAGTATGAGTTCCACTGANGAGGCATAGAAATAGGAGTCCCAACCCCTGCCATTCACTGACTGTTTAAACCATTCAGTATGAGTTCCACTGATTCTCTCGTGTAAGTGATCACCGATTTTTAGATCCCATTGATCTTCAGATTTTGACCGATGGTTGTAAACAGCAGTCCGGATGGGAGTCAATGAGTGGTGATAATGAAAGGGCACGTCTAGGGATCGGTATTGCAATGAGGCGTCCAATTGCTTGTATCGCATTAATTCATAGGAAAGTCGGCATATCTTTTGGGGAATATTAATAAGAATTCTTTCGTAAAGTTCTTATAATTAATAACAAACTTACGGTTGAACTGAAGGTGCAAACAATATAATCGGTTTCCGATAACAGGAATATATCCGCGAGTACTCCCCAAAGGGATTCATTTGAATATCTCGTGGTTTGACTGAATGCTATCTTTGAGATGGAAGTGCTTCCTATAAATTCATAGTTTGGATACTCTTTTACCAATTGAGGCAAAACTGACGGGTCATCGGAGGCCACATAAACCAATCTCTGAGACACTTGTCGTGTGAGCTCTAGTTTATGGAAATAGTCTTTGACTGAAACCATATAATCAGAAATAGGATAATACAGGGCCTCATGATAGCTGAGTTTATCAGTCCGTCGCACATGAATGCCTACAATAGGGTGTCTGTAATTAATTTGTTTCTTAAAATCATTGAGAAATCTCTGTAGTCTTGGTTGGGGTCTCATTATATATCCCGTGAACTGCGAGTGAAACCACGAGTTAGGACTGTCCACCAGAGACATCAAATCTCTACCAAATTGTTTTGGCAATTGATTCATCAGTTTTCTATCGGTGACAGTATTGGGTCTTCTTTGAACTTTTCGCACATATTTTCGTAAATCTTTGTAATCACATGAAGTACTCAACGGAATAAAGATATCATTCCAGTGCTCACCGCCTTTGAAATATTTAGGCCACTCGGGAATCAAAATAACAGTTTGATTGCTATAATAGGCAGACAATAGACACCATAAGACCTCATGAATTCCGGACGCAAAGCCATAGTCGTAATTGATATTACAAATGGACTTTGATGCAATTTTGTTGCAATATCTTTTCGGTGGATTTTGAAGTTTATCCACTTTTGAGTAGATTTGTTGCGATATTTGTTTCAGTCTTTCATTTTTATAGTCAGTTAATCCCAATAATTGACTCGCATTTTGTACTTCCCATTGAATTACACTAATTATATTAATAGTAAAAATTAGGTAATTAAGAAAAATATGAAATATTTTAAACTATACCTACTTTTTCATATCACTCACTTGTGATATGATTTTAGTTTTATTCCCATTATTCATTGAATTTGTTTTATTCAAAGTTATGGACAAATAATTGAAGATCTCTTGAGCTGTTGTGAGGGCTCGTCGTAAATGTTTCACAGACTCTAACGTAACTAAAATAAAAAAAAATAATATAAATTAATATATTTCAGTAAATGGAAACATCTAATAAATAAATACAAATAAAAGTCAAATATCTATACAGTATTTGAATTAAATTGCAAACCATACTCACCATTTGTTATTTGTTTATTGCCAACACAATTCACATAATTGCTTTTAATATTTTTAATAAAATTTGACCGTAGTTTCAATATTTCCATGTCCTTAAGCCTATAATTTTGTGATTTAATTTGATTATCAAATCTATTAATCGCCAGATATACGAGCATTGGAAATGTGACACAAAAATATATCCACAGAAATGACTGAATCTTATGATCGTAATTCATAGTGTTAAACATCAATCTCTAAAATCACAAAATACTTAATTATTATGTTATATAATGATTAAACTTGTTATCTTAAATAATTAACTATATATTTAAGTGTGTGATTTTGAATGAGCAAGTTTTTGGCAACTAATACATTTGAGATTCATATTTTTAAACTAAAGTACTGGTACTGTATGTGACTATTCCTGAGTTTAATTGACAATTTTAAGCCCAAAATTTGTTATTCAAAATAAAACACTTACCTTTGTTTGAATGACAATCAATACATATTAATACTCCAAAATGATATTCTCACCGGTAATTATAGTATCGCATGATACACATAGTTATAAATTATAACTTATAATGTTAAAAAGTTTTACTAAAATTTGAAAAGCTACTTTGGCAACTATAATAATTTTGTGTCATGTATTGTATCAGATTTTTTTACATAACTGTTGAACAATATGAAACTTTATAAAAATGAATAAAATTTATGAATTGCTGTTAGTTTACAACACATTTAATTTATTTGTTTGTAAATGTCAAATGCATAACTACTTAATAAATTAATAAATAGAATAAATTAATATAAGTTATAATTGGGTTGTTCAGTTAGAAATAGATAAAAATCACATTATAATTATAATATTGTTATTGCAATATTTAATAATAAATAATGATTATTACTAAGTTAGTACTGTATAACATAATGATATACAAGGAAGTAATTTATAGTGTTGATTTAGTTATTTATTTACCTGCTTCATTTTAGTGTCAGATCATATTCTGTTTTAATGATCAATAAATGCAATTACTATAAAACAAGACATTCAGATACATATTAATAAATATTCATTTAAAATTAAAGATTTAGTTATTTATTTACCTGCTTCATTTTAGTGTCAGATCATATTCTGTTTTAATGATCAATAAATGCAATTACTATAAAACAAGACATTCAGATACATATTAATAAATATTCATTTAAAATTAAATTAATTTTCTTGTTTTACAGTAAAATCAATACAATATTAATATAAAAAGAAAGTAAATTCAAAATAGAAATTACATACATGTAAATACAGTATTTTATAAAAATAAAATTAGTAAATTAACAGTAATGTTAGGAAAAGTGATGTAAAAATTGGCCTGTAATGGTAATGGCTAATATAGATTAAATTTGTCTAAATGGTATAGATTAAAATTATAGAGTAGATAAAGTCAACAAATTTAGAGAATTAATAGTAAAATTAATCCCTTTTTAAGTATTTTATATAAAATATGTATTAAATCTAAACTAACTCAATATCATCGTAAACTTTATAAACAGGGTATAATTTGTAAAACTTTTGTGTCGATGAATTGGAGGCATAGAAATAGGAGTCCCAACCCCTGCCATTCACTGACTGTTTAAACCATTCAGTATGAGTTCCACTGATTCTCTCGTGTAAGTGATCACCGATTCTTAGATCCCATTGATCTTCAGATTTTG